TTTTTTTTTTTTATTTATTATATAGAATAATCGTTGTGGTAACCTAAACTGATTTCAGGCACATACACACACATAAATACAAATAAATAGACTGATGAAGAACAGCATAGTAACAACAAATACAAATGAAGAAGCACAAAAATACCAGTTTTGTCGCAGAGTTTTCGAAACTATGAATAGAAGTTTTGAACTTTTAGTTTTTTACTTTTATACAGTAAAGCAGTTGAAAATTTTTGCATTTTTTTTCGCACAAACTAATTTTTTGTTGGGCTTATCAAAGCTGCCTTTTGTTGCACAGATTAGTTGAGTCACTTAAACCTTACTGAATCTATCAACCTATAAAGGGGCACAGCAAATACAAACTTTTGTAAAATTGTCACTCGACAGCAGACAGCAGTTGTCGTCTGATATATCACAACTTCGGTTTTGCTTGTAGTTGCCATTTTATTCAATTAGATTTAAGTTTTCTGCAAAATTTAATTTTTATTTATTTTTCTCATTATTCCTTAAAGCTAAAAATTGTAAAAAATCTTCATTTTTTCTGCTTAACTTTATATGATACAGTAAGGCAAAATTAACCCAAACAGGACATTTTTTCGGGTCTTCTTGAAACTTCGCTCGTATTTTCTACTTCGTTTCGTAATATATTGTAGAATATATTTTGAATAAGACTGCTAGCCAATACTTTTGTTCTTTATATCGTTTTACTTGTGTTGTATGGCAAATTTTTGTTTAGCCTGTACTTCTTAAAAAGATAAAGATAAATTTTTGATAAGAAAAGTTGATGGACTTTTTAAACAAACAAAAGTGATCGGCTCTCAAATTATTTGCTTGTTTTTTTTTGGAACAGACACTTTCCTTTTAATCTGCATTTCCGCTTACAAAGCATCTTCTTTCAACTAAAATAACTCGATTTCACTATTCAATTTTTTTATTATCACTTACGATTAGCTACAAGTTGTGCCAAAAAAAAGATGTTGCAAGGTACGTTTGTCACGTTTCCTGCCTTAACAAAACTTTTCAACTTGAACAACTTCTTTTTTATTTTGTTTTTTTTTCAATATTAAGGCGGAAGTTAAAAATTTATGCATTTTCATTCCGTTACCAACTAGAAAGCATACTGAATTTTTCAATACGGTTTTGTAGATATGGGCTGCAGATTTCGCTTGGCTATCTTTCTAATTTTTGTCTACCAATGTATAACCACCAATGTTGTGATAACGCTTGCCACAACACCATGCTCTGAAGATACTGCAATGATATGCCCAAATAAATTAGCTGATACCATCTGTGAGCGATTTTTTGAGAAGCCAACTAAACTCAGGTAATTGACAGCATTTGAATGTTCATAAGACATTCTAATACATTTGAAACGAGATAGTTTTTTAAAAGTAGAACAGTAAACTCAACAATACTAATTAACAAAATAATACTTCTAGCACTGGTTGGGTAGTAGATACGAACTGTACTAGACCTGAGTATAGAAGTTTGGCAGTTCAGTGCCGTCGAACGTGTATGACATGTTGTAACGATCCTGCTTATCAATGCGAAAACAACAAAAGTAGGAAAACAACTGATATAGCAGAAAAAAACAATCCACAAATATTTTTCCAAATTTTTGTTTGAAAACTTTTTCTCAGTTTTTCTCACAATTTAGTGTCTGTAAATGTAAACGACTAGAAAAAATGATATTTTTATTTACTAAGGTCTATTCCAGATTCACGTCTGAACTGTGCAAAAATAGCTGAAGTTGGTGGTTGTGTTACTGAAGTGCCGTGGATTGGAGCTATGTTACAACAGGAATGTCCACATTCGTGCGGTTTATGTGAAGTTTCGTTCTGTGCTGATAAGAGTGAAATGTGTCCTTTGTTGTCAGAAATATGTAACCACAAAAGTTGGTTCCAATTTATGGGGGAAATGTGTCCACGAACTTGCAGAACTTGTAACAAAAACTTCAAAACCGCTGTTTCGTTGATACATAATTAGCTACCAAAAAAAAAAATTAATAGCTGTATTTACAATTAATTCAACAATTCAGTTGTGCGTATTAATTTTGTAATAACTTTAGACTTTTGAATTGGCTTCTTATTCCAGTTAAATAGGCATTTAT